CTTCAATTCCTCTACCCAGAATGTTCTTCTCAGAATGTTATTCTCCATTCACATTCCTGCTGGAAACTCTTGTTTCTAAGACAAGGAGGAAGACATTTGATTTTGGTAAAAGGCAGGGTGAAAACATGACCGAGGAACCAGTCTGCATTGCGGTGGAACCCAGTCTTAGGGAGTTGTTTTTTTTTTTTTTTTTTTCACTAAAGTCCTGCTTCTCAAGTTTCATTGCTTATTAGAGTCTTCTGGAGAGCTCTAACAATTGTAATGCCTAAAGCTGTGGCTTCCAAACTTTACAATTCATCCAAGTCAAGAGGAGATCTTCTTAAAACAGATTGCTAGGCTCCACCCCAGAGGTTTTGATTCAGTAAGTCTGAGGTGGGACTCAAGAATTTATATTTTCAACAAGTTCAACATGATGTTGAGAAGTACTGTGCCAGTTAGGGCACTGTTGTTGTTCAATTGCTAAGTCATGTCTGACTCTTTGTGACCCTCTTCTCTTTTTGCCTTCAATTTTTCCCAGCATCAGGGTCTCTGCTAATGAGTTGGCTCTTCGCATCAGGTGACCAAAGTATTGGAACTTCAGCTTCAAGTATCAGTCCTTCCAATGAATATTCAGGGTTGATTTCCTTTAGGATTGACCGGTTGGATCTCTTTGCAGTCCAAGGGACTCTCAAGAGTCTTCTCCAGCACCACAGTTGGAAAGCATCAGTTCTTCATACTCAGCCTTCTTTATGGTTCAACTCTCACATCCATGCATGACTGCAGGAAAAACTATATAGGTTGACTGAAGGACCCTTTGTCGGTAAAGTGATGTCTCTGGTTTTTAATACACTGTCTAGGTTTGTCATAACTTTCCTTCCAAGGAGCAAACATCTTTTAATTTTATGACTAAACCAAGTCAAGCAGAACCTCTGGAGGTAATCCATAGGCTACAGGTTTTCTGTAACTCACCAGGTAAATATATACAATTATGTTTGAGAAAAACAACTCTAATAAGAGACTGAAAGGATTTAAAAAGAAACATTTTGGAGCATCCAGACGGTGGCATGTATGAAACCTCAATGACCTAACCTAACCTGTGACCATGAACCATGCTTTGTGTCCCTAGCTGCTTTGCCAGGAAAGATTCGATCTTTTGGGGATACACTTCCCTAAGTATTTCTAAAAGTCTTTTTTTATTGTTTTTTAACCTTCCCTTTAACAGCTCCTTAAGGGTGCTTAGCACTTAGTTCTTATACTTTCAGAAATTTTCGTCAAGCACACGTAAACACAGTACCTGATTATTGTCATGAATTGCTGTAATTCGTGAATTCCCAGCTATGCCTAAGACCTCCAACTCTAGGATTCTCCCAGCTATAATTCATGCCCTAACCCAACAGGTATTTTCTTCTATCTTTGCACCTCAATATCCAAGAAAGGGCAAGGGTGGTGAAGAAAAGTGTCATTTTGTTTTTCTCAAGAGATAAGCACTTACTCTCTTAAGCTATGTCACAAACTCTCTTAAGAAACTTAGCCTCTGTGGTTGTGAACAATACACACGGGAGGAGCGCCACCTGGCAGTATCTAGCGCCAGTTACCATTGGATAGTTGGAAGGGGAGACACCCCATTGACCTTCAGTACTTGATTTGACTGGATCTTTGCACAACCACAGTTGTAAACTCCTTGAGTATAAAGTTTGTGGCCCATTCAATCCTGTGGAAATGGCAGTACAACTCTGTGGGTAGTAGCATGGACTCTGGAGTAAGGCAACTGGGACGCCCTGGTGGAGCAGTGGTCAGGAATCCACCTTGGGTTCGAAGCCTACGTTAGGAAGATCCCCTGGAGAAGGAAATGGCAACACACTCCAGTATTCTTGCCTGGGAAATCCCATGGACAGAGGAGCCTGGCAGGCTACAGTCCATGGGGTCGCAAGAGTCGGACACAAATCAGGGACTAAACGACCACCACCACCGCAACTTTTGAAAGAACGACATAGCCCAAGGACACAACATAAACTGATTAGATTCAAATGGGACCAAGATGGCAGACAAGACTAGACCTCAATCCTCAATCAACAAGTGAAATGACACACCCAGAGATGCCCTGACAGTTCCAGGCACTGTTAAAAGACCAAGGAGTGGGCGGTGGCCCAAATCCTGGAAATCTTCACCCCTTCCCCAAAATAGTTGGAACAATCCTCCAACTCATTAGCATATGAAATTACCCAGACTATAAAAACTAACCACACCAAATTTCACAGTGCATTCACCCCCCGTGATGGCCCACACTCTGTCTGCGGAGAATGGTGTTTGGCAAAGAGCCAGAGTTCTCATTTTATACTAGCTACTTTCATGCTTTTTCCCCCTAAAGATAACTGTTTTTTGGTGTGAGAATCTTAGGAATAAATGTTAATAATTCCTTGAGAAAAGCAGACCTTCCCATTAAAAAGACGAGGAAGCAACATATACGCACAAAAGCATGTTTCCTTACCTATAAAGTACATGTCTACGTGAGATAATTAATTTACTGGGAATAGTACACCTGGGACATAAAGATATTTAACAATTTCTGAAGGATTAAGTGATAGGCATCTCCTAAAGAGTGTCACATGATAAAAGCAAGACACAAAACCAGTGACCTTGGGGAAGGAGGTGGAAGGGATATACAATAGGGAGCGGACATATGTACAACTATGGCTGATTCATTGATGTTTGGCAGAAACCAACACAATACTGTAAAGCAATTATCCTTCAATTAAAAATAAATAAATTAAAAAAAAACTAGTTACCTTTGCATTCTTTTTTTCAATCTAGCATTATCCTTTACCAATATTAAATCCTGTTTGCATGGTACTCAAAATTGTTTATCTGTAATAATCTCAAATCCCATCCTCTCCATTAAAAAAGGGGAAAGAGAGGGGATATATATGTATATTTATGGCTGATTCATGTTGTTGTACAGCAGAAATAGACACATCATTGTAAAGTAATTATCTTCCAATGAAAAATGAATTTTAAAAAATAACTTAAAAAAAGACTAGAACTGAAAAAACAAACAAAATGGAGAGGAAAGTTAAACTACAACTCCTTTTTCTTAATAGTCCATCCTAAATTTAGACCATGTCTTTTTATTCTTATTTTTCACTATTTGTTCGAACTGCTTTTTAAAAAAGTTTCCTGCTCAGGCTTCCTAACTTAGATATTTTTCTTCTTTTCTTTGGCTTCCCTTTCTATCTCTTTAGAAGATAAAGTACATAAAGCATCCAGCATGAAGCCCTGAACAAGTACATTTTCAACAGTTGACTTTTCTTAACGTAAAGGGATGAACAAATAAAGGGTTTATTCTCCAGGAAAACAAACAAAACACCTCACCCTAAATTCTCACATAAGACACAGAAATTGTCAGAGCTCTGGAAGGCAACTCTCAGCCACCGACCTTGGCATCTCAGCAGGAGCCGCTGGCTGACAACTTTGAACCGAGTATGAATTTTTAGCACTAGCTCCCTCCCCTCTGATCTGCCCACCAGGTGTAGTGGGCAGAAACAACAGGCTACCTAGAAAGAATAACAAAGGTGAATATTTACAAGCCTGAGTCTTTTAACATGTCTTACTTAGATAAAAAGAATGTTACAATCTAGATTTTTTGTTATGATAATACTTTGACCCCCTGTCAGATCATTTATTTTATTCTTCAAATATCCCCACAGCTTCCTCACTTCTAAATAGTAACTTATTCCTTTATTTGAAATGTGCTGAAGCCGTTAGTTTAAAAGTCCAGGTCAAATGAAGTTTTCCCTCAAGAAGGAAATATTTCTTCTACAAAAATGCCAAAGCAGTCAAGAAATTTAAATTCTACCACTCTTTTTTTTTAAAGGCTCTTCTATATGCCTTACAAGATCTTCCGGGATCAGGGACTGAATCTTCAGCGTTGGCAGTGAAAGCATGGAGTCCTAACCAGTGGACCACATGGGAACTCTTAGGCCTCACTGTGTCTTTGAGGTTCCTCTTTTTGTGTGGTCCACCCCTAGCTGCAGGTCGGTGATAGTTGTGACTGCAGACCTCTTGAGTCACCTCTTGGTCACCTCTGTAGGAGGAGACAGGCCAGAGAAGAAGCTGTTTGAGTTGTTAATCTCAGAAATTCTGTCTGGCTGTACAGGGCCTGGAGGGCTGGTATAAGGGGTACTGGGAAGGCTGGCCCACTCTATAAACTTCATCTTGAATTAAATCTAATCAAGGTGTACAGACAGAAGGTAAAGAAGTCTGCTTTCCCAATAGTGAGTGTGTAACCATTGATTGCAGATGCTTATCACAGGACCACACCATAATGAGAGCTGTCTAATTTCCTTCTGAAAGCCACTTGAGCCGTACTCATTTCACTGACATAGCTGGAAATTTTTACCCACTCACGAGACAGTAAGTGGAACTTCCCCAGCCCCCGGTGGTTAAGACCCAGCACTGCCAATGCAGGTAGCTTGGGTTCGATCACTGGTCTGGGAACTAAGATTCCATGTGCTACAAGGTGCGCCAATATAAATAAAAATTATTCTTTAAAAGAAGACAATAAGCAAGATGCCACATAGTGTAGACAGAAGAGAATGACAAGCAGGAGGGAGACCCAGCTTCCTAGCCCAGGCTTGACTCCTGCACTAAGTATTCAGGGAACTAACCCAATTTATTACTATCAGTTTCTTCATCGTCTTTAGAAGGTGGTTGGACTGTGTGACCTCTTGGCTTCCAGTTAGACCGAAGACTGTGATTCTACAACAATATGGTTCCCCTACCTATTCATTTGAAACTTATTTACAGAGAAACTGAGTCCTTGCTATGAGCAAAAGTTTCTTTTAGTCAGTGATGAATAAGATATGGTTATTGTGTTGTTACGGAAAGGGTTTATTTGGAAGAGGGAAGTGGGATGGAACAGACCAGTGTGAGTCAACTCAGAACACGAGAGTCCCCTCATTCCAAACTGGAATATGGGCTCTGTGATGAAGGGCTTATTCTAATGACTCTGGTCAATGTGAAAGACTCCTGACTTTGTGTGGGAAATTAACACATTGACTGTACCCAGTAGCTCATTAATCCTTTTTCCAGAGATGGCAATTCATGGCAGTGTAGTTTTTGTTTCGTGTGTGTATGTGTGTGTGTGTGTTTGCAAGACCCTTACTCAAGACTAATTTCTAACAATATTTTGAAGCTGTGGCCCTGATTTCTAGCCTATAAGAAATCTGAACAATAGAGATTTCATGACCCCCAACTTTGGTATAACTCTTTGCTCTGGTGCTTCTTTTTTCTAGCATAAATTCTCCCTCCAGTCATTCCCATATGACATATGATTAAAACATTAATGACTTTAGAAAAATGAGTTTTGACTAGGAGGATGGAAGGCGGAGGCAGAATCATTTCAGGCTTGAAAATGTCTTTTGACAAAAGTTCAGGATAAGGAAACATTCAACATCTTGTTAGAGATGAGTGGGAAAGAAGAATCAGTTGGGAGCATGAATGTCAGAAAGAAATTATTAGGATAACAAGAGTAACAGAGAACTATGAAAGGTTGCCAAGTTGGAGAGTAAGAGGAGAAAAATAGAAATAAAATATGATGAACATGATGGGAGTATAGAGCTGGTTAGACTCTGAGGAAGAGCTTTTAAGATTCCACTTCCTGGCATGCAGGGAGTGGAGGATGTGCCATAACAAGACCCGACTCCTGAACATATGACAGCAAATGTATAGGATTCAGCACTAATTTCAGAGGTGGTTGTACACAGTCTGCAAACCAAACATTTAGTTTTTTCATCAGTATAAAAATAACATCTACATACTTAATTTCTGTCCAGTAAGAAGTGATAAGGTTTAAGAAGGCCGAGTTTTAAATTTTTCAAAGGGTGAAAAGAAATGGGCAAAATTATGTTTATCCTGAAATACAATTTCTTTCCATCCATCCTACAGTGTCATGACTCCCTGTGGCAACTTCCAACAACAAAGATGTTCTCGGCACTTTCTGTGGTGACAGAGAGGTGAGTATCGTGGTCTGTAGGGCAGAGCAATACATATATCCCTAGTAATCCATTGTACATCAAAAGTCAGGGACTGCTTCAGTGGAATTAGTCTCATTTGGGGGAATGAATAAAATTAAATCAAAGGACACAGTACCTGATAAAGGAACAAAAAAGCTGGTAGGCTTTGCTCAAAGAAAGAAAAGGCCCTAAAGAGAGAAGGAATGTATTCTATAGTTTTCTTCCTTCCATATTTCAGCTAGATTCCATTAGTGAAAAGATTTGGATGAGACTCCCATTCAGATATTATCAGAGATCATTATAATTTAAATCTCTGTACTGGTTTATACCAAATTACCCAACCCTCCAACCTAAAACCAATGCATCTCAGTGGTTTGGTGGTACTATTTATACACAGTAACCAACTCTTGAAATGACAACTCTTAGGAGCAAGTATCCTCAGAATCCAGCATGTGGCTTGCCTGATGAGATTCCTTAAAAGTTTGTGGTTGATGATGAACCCAGCATACAGGAGTTCCATATTACGTCATAATTGGCTTTATGTCAATGGGTGAAATCAGTCACAGAGGAGAGTAAGAATTTTGTGTAATAACAACACAGCAACTGATTGCCTACTTGTTACTCAAAACAATAGACTCTGGGGGAGCATCTTTAAATCCCAGAATAGAGACTTGCTTAGATGTCCTTCTTTGAGAAAATGTCTACAGCAGATCTGATGGAGAATCTCAGGGAGGAACTGACCTGTTTCATCTGCTTGGACTATTTCACCAGCCCAGTGACCACTGAGTGTGGGCACAGCTTTTGTCTGGTGTGTCTCCTGAGAAGCTGGGAGGAACATAACACCCCTTTGTCATGTCCTGAGTGCTGGAGGACCTTGGAGATCCCGCATTTCCAGCCCAACGAGCGTCTGGGGAGGCTGGCTGGCATTGGCAAGCAGCTCAGGTCCCAGGTGCTGCACAGTGAAGGCAACCAGGGCAGCTATGAGAGGATGCTGGCTGCCACCAGGATGTTGTCTGATGAGGAGCTGGGAGGCCACAACTTCTCAACCCAAGGCCCCGGAGTAAACAGAATGAATCTCTCCAGTGAGGCTGAGGAGCATCACAAAGTAAGATGGGAGGCTCGATTTAAATTTCAGAACACACATCAGATTCTATCGCATAAGGTGATGTTAGTCGCTCAGTTACGTCCAACTATTTGCCCACCAGGTTCCTCTGTCCACCAGGACATGGAGACTAGCCCACCAGGTTCCTCTGTCCAGGGGATTCTCCAGGCAAGAATACCGGAGTGGGTTGCCAGGCCCTTCTCCAGGGGATCTTCCTGACCCAGGGATCAAACCCGGATCTCCCACCTTGCAGGCAGATTCTTTACCGTCTGAGCCACCAGGGGAGCCCCAACTGCCATAATATTTTCTATGGGTGAAAGTCATGGGTGCTAATCTCCAGGCACCAGACCACAAATCTGGGCATGGATTCTTTTTCCCCTTTTGATCTTAAGTCTTGGCCATCTTGTTAGTGATCCTCAAGACCCCTTCATGACCTGGCGCTCTGCTCATTTACCACAGTTTGTTTCTATTGCAGGAGAAACTCCAGGAAATACTAGACATTTTGTGTAAAAAGAGAAAGGAAACAGAGGTTATATTAAACCATGAGAAGGAGAGAGTGATATTGTGTAAGGTCAGTATCTGTTTTATTTTTCCATTTTGTATGTGATTCTACAAGGGGGACTAGCGGGATGCTTCATGGAGTATCAGAAGAAATTGACATGAAATCCATGGCTAATTCATTTCAATGTATGACAAAAACTACTGTAATGATGTAATTAGCCTCCAACTAATAAAAATAAATGGAAAAAAAAATAAAAAATAAAAACTGATTTTGACGAAAAAAAAAAAAAAAGAAGAAAATGACAAAGTTTACTATCTCCAGTGCTGCAGTGTGGAGTGTCCTTGCTTTGGGCTGCCTACCTCTGTTTTTCTATCTGAAGACTCAGCTCAATTCTCCCATCCCCTGGCTGACTTATTTTCCCCTTCTTTGTGTACCTATACCACATTGTCGCTACCTATATTTCTGCTCTGATTATAATTATGAAATATATGTTATACATATAGATATATCACCTAGAATGGAAATTGATTGAAAAAAATAATATCTCAAATGATTTAGGGGAAAAAGGGCAGATAAAAAAGAAACAAAAAGAAAGGAAAATTGAAGCAAAATACAGTGTGGATTAGTACACCTGAACAAGAGCTTGAGGTTAGCTGCAGATTAGAGTTTAAGCAATATAGCAAAGAGCAGAACTCAATGTCTAATTAGATTTTTTAAAAGCATGTTTTTGATGTTCTCAGTAACCTCTGACTTCTTACATGGGAGCCTTTGTGATGTTCATTTCTATTCCTAGTATGTGATCCATTGTCTACTTTCATTGTCTAAATGTTTGTTGAATGAATGAATGCATGCTTCCCCTGCCTTAATTTTTTGTCCTAACTTTATTTTGCTTTACTTTTTAAAAATAATCATACTCATCACCACCTATCATAATTTGTTTATTTTTGTTGCTTCCACTAGAATGACAACCTCCTAGGAGTAGAATTTTTGATTTTTTTTTTTTTTTTTTACTACTATAAGCTACAACATACAGCTCCTAAAATATCAAACTATCCACCCAGCTAGTCAACAGAATGTATGTGTTATGTGTCAGGTTTCGAGAGTTGTCACAGTGGAACTCTAGGACTTTGTAAGAGTTAAAAATCTATGTAAGTGATTCTGTGACTAACTTTACTATGTGTGTGTGTGTGCACGCCGGTGTGATGGCAGGAAGAGACAAAGACCTGTAAGCAGGTTGTCCTGTCAGAATATGCAAAAATGCACCAGTTCCTGAAGGAGGAGGAGCAGCTGCAGCTGCAGCTTCTAGAAATGGAGGAACGAGAGAACCTGAAGAAACTGCGGGACAACGAGATCAGGCTGACCCAGCAGATGCGAAGCCTGAGCAAAATGATGGAACAGATAGAGTCCACGTGTCAGAACTCGGTTATAGAGTCTTTCGAGGTAAGAACATTGGAGAAACTAATGAAAAAAAAAATCCCCGTATGTCACCTATCATATTTCAAGTTGCACAGAATAAACTTTTATTTATTTACTTGAAAAATTAAGTTCTGGCCCCTAAGAAAACTTTCTTAAAGAATGACTATTCTCTGTATAGTGTAAATAAAATTTTGAAGAGGAAAAGGAAAGAAAAAAAAGGAATGTCCATCCAAACAAGTCAAGTGATGACTCCAAATTTTTTGTGTGCCTGCCTCATTGCAATCTGAGCTTTGCCAAATATTTTATATTTAATGAAGTTTGTGTACTGGGCACTTTAAATTACATCTTCAAAAAGACCCGATGAGGTTAAATACTATTATGATATTTTACTATAGGTGATTGGTAGTGATAAAATGGGTTAATAGAAGCAATTATTTTGTTTTCTTTTAACTTTTTATTTCATATTGGAGTATAGCCCATTAACAATGTTATGATAGTTTCAGGTGGACAGCAAAGGGACTCAGCCATCCATATACATGTATCCATTCTCCCCAAAACTCTCCTTCCATCCAAGCAATAGTGGCAATTGTTTAGTAACTCAGATAATTTGCCTGTCAAATAGCTAGTAGGTGATAGAACCCAGGTATTTGTGTACTGAGTCCACATTTTTCACCATCTTTCCTCTACTACCTTTCTAGGCTACTATTGCATTCTTTGGGACCTTCTTAAACATAACCTGTGTTCCAGTTTCCTATTGACAGCTTCCAATCACTTTCCTAGACTAGCTCCCCAGAATTCTGCTATTTAATTTATTGCCTTCCCAATAACCCAGTCCAGGCTTTCCAGGTGGCACTACTGGTAAAAAACCTGTCTGCCAGTGCAGAAGATCTAAGAGACCTGGGTTCAATCCCTGGGTCAGGAAGATCCCCTGGAAGATGGGGCAGCAACCCACTCCAGTATTCTTGCCTGGAGAACCCCATGGACAGAGGAGCCTGGTGGGCTACAGTCCATAGGGTCTCAAAGAGTCAGACACGACTGAAGCGAGACTTAGCACGTACAATAACCAAGTCTAACCATACACAGGCTAAGTTTCACCTCTCACAAAGCTACTTCCCTTTGCTTATTTCTACCTCCCGGAGGCATCATTAGATAATAAAGCCAATAGTTTGACTCCTTTCTCAGCCACAGATTCTGTTGACAAAGGATGATATGAGAAAAAGAAAACTTTAGTTATTGTGAGAAATACCTCACGCTCACCAGCAACTCACCCGAGAAGAAGTTCGAGATTTTTTCTGCCATACGCTCTCCCATTCAAAGTATTCTAGAGCCATGGGAAGGGGACTCTATGAAATCTGCAAAGGACTGTATTCAAAATGGACTGTCTCTGCTAGCACTCAGAGTGCAGAAAAACTAACCTTCTTTCTTTTATACCCTTAGGATGTGAGAGGAATACTGGAAAGGTAGGTTTTTCTTCTCTGTTCACTTGTGTAGGGAACAGGGTGGTGGTGCTGATGCAATAGGTTTTCTGAGAGGGGATGAAAGTGTCCATGCTGCTGGGGCAGAGAGGGCTGGATTCTCAAGTTGGAGCAGCTCGTGTGGTCTGTGCAGAGGAGACCAAGCGACCGTCTCTGCTCTCCCGTAGGAGCGAGCCCCTCTTGCTTCAGTGTCCAGAGGCCATCAGCACGGGACTGACTCTGTGCCACATCACAGGAATGAGGGAGATGCTGAGAAAATTCAGCAGTAAGTCAGCATGATTTGTTGACCCTCTAGGGACTTTCAGATGGGTGCAGGGTGGGCACAGACCATCTCTGCTGGAACGGACAGAAGCACTGAGACTTGATTGATGTTTGGTCTGACTTTGTTTTCTGTCTGAGTCCTGTTCCTTCCTTTGTTTGCATGGGTCTGTTGTGTTCATCCCATCGCCTTGCACATGCACACACACAGATCTCCTCAGGGGGTTCTGTGTTGCTCCCTCTGTTCTTGTGAGGATAAAAGCTGATCTAAACTCTTAAATCTCAGTGAGGGAACATTCAAAGAACTATCCTTTTAGAATGCTCCAAATATTTACACTGGCTAAGACTTAGAGAGGTGAATATTAGGTTTCACCTTTTATCTTGTTGACAATCTGACCTTCAGAGAAAGGCCTAATGGATGCTGGACTCAACAGATATTTGAGAAGTGCCTACTATGTGCTATAGTAGGGACTGTGCTATTAGGCTCTGTGGTGCAAAGTGGTAAAGAACCCACCTGCCAATGCATAAGAGAGACATAAGAGGCACAGGTTCAATCCCTGGGTCAGGAAGATACCCTGGAGGAGGGCATGGCAACCCAGTCCAGTATTCTTGTCTAGAGAATCCCATGGATAGAGGAGCCTGGCAGGTTACGGTCCATACGGTTGCACAGAGTCAGACACAACTGATGCAACTTAGCACGCACGAAGCATGCATGCACATATTTATAATAATGAGTGAGACGCTTGCTTTTGCCTTTGTAGATCTTACAGTGAGATTGAGGAGAGATTGAGGAGTGAGATTGAGGAGATATTAATCAAACAGATAGTGATGATTGGGATTTGATCTACAAAGAAAAGTATAAAATGATATGATGGGGGTAGGCTCTTAGTTCTACAAGTGTCTTTTAAACAGAACCACTTCCATTCCATTATCAGAGATCTAGTATCATTCTCCACATGATTCATTGGTTTCCTTTTAGAGATCCACACTCTGTGTTTTGTGATACAGTGAAAGAAGGGTCTCAGAGACACTGTTCTAGTCAGGACAAAAATCCCCACCACAGTCACCTAAATTAAGTTTTAAACAAGAGGACTAGGGGCTTCCCTTGTGATCCAGTGGTTAAGACTCCATGCTTCTGCTGCAGGGTTTATGGGTTCTGTCCCTGGTAGGGGAACTAAGATCCTGCATGCTCAGTGGCTCAGTCAAAAAAAAAAAAAAAAAAAAAGGACTAGATACTAAGACCTTCATTTAAATTGCACATATGTAAGAGAGTTTTCCAGAATGCAAATGGGGATTCATCCTTTTCTCCTTTTGCAGCGGATATAACCCTAGATCCAGCCACAGCCAACGCCTACCTAGTCTTGTCTGAGGATCTGAAAAGTGTGAAACATGGAGGAATCCGACAGCAGTTGCCTGACAACCCTGAAAGATTTGACCAGTCTGCCACGGTGCTGGGCACTCAGGTCTTCACCTGCGGGAGACACTACTGGGAGGTGGAAGTGGGCAACAAGACCGAGTGGGAGGTGGGCATCTGTAAGGACTCAGTGAGCAGGAAGGGGAACCTCCCCAAGCCTCCTGGGGACCTCTTCTCACTTATAGGCTTAAAGATTGGCGATGATTATAGTCTTTGGGTCTCATCACCTTTGAAAGGCCAACACGTCAGAGAGCCAGTGCATAAGGTTGGCATTTTCTTAGACTATGAGTCTGGACATATAGCGTTCTACAACGTGACAGACGAGTCCCTCATCTACAGCTTCCCTCCAGCCTGTTTCCAAGAGGCTCTCAGGCCCATCTTCTCCCCTTGTCTCCCAAACGAAGGGACCAACACAGGCCCTCTTGTCATCTGCTCACTGAAGCACCATTGCCCTGCTCACTGATGCCCTCAGCCTTTTCGGAGAGTGAGGTCTAAGACCAACTGATAACTATTAATTAGGATGATTAATGCATCGATGGTATTAACATCAGGTGATCTGAAAGAAAGCACCCCCCTCCCCAACAACCCTCAGAAGTTTCCATTATTTTGAGCCCTCACTGAACAGCCAAATTGGACAATCAACTTCTAACACCAATAGGAAAAAGCTGACTTTATCCTGTGTCTTGAATCAAATTCATTATCTAGACTGCCCCCTATATGTGCTGATCACTGAAAATGTAAAGATAGAACTAGTCCCTAGTAACCTGAATCCCATTGTCATAGGCCGGTTTATAAATCTATGTCATTTTTTTCAAGTGTATTTATTTATTTGACTCTAAAAAGCTCCACTATTTGCATGTGTCTGTCTTATGTGTAAAGCTCCTTGTGCCAGGGCAAACCTAACTCCTCCAGGGGGCTGGATACATGGGTTCTCCTTTTTCATGACTCGGCCTTCTCTGAAAAAGTGCTTTTCTTCCCATCCTATGGGGCCTGAAGAGTCGGTCCTCAGGAAGAGTTATGTGTTCAGAATGGTACAAAGATATGTGTGAATATCATCGTGGCATTCACATTACCATATTCACAAGATCATGGAGCTTTCTGTTGTTAATATATTCAAAGGCGACAAAGCAAAGTATTTAGTCAATACACATATCAAGGCTGTGGGTGCAGAGTGAGTTTTTGAGTTTTGTGTGTTAGTTGCTCAGTCGTGTCTGGCTCTTTGTGACCCCACAGACCCTACAGAGGAGCCCCTCCAAGCTCGTCTGTCCATGGGATTCCCCAGGCAAAAATACTGGAATGGGTTGCCATTTCCTCCTCCAGGGGATCTTCCTGACCCAGGGATTGAACACAGTCTCCTGCATTGCAGGCTGATTCTTTACCTTTTGAGTAAAGATTTTCCGAGCTTTTGCTATTTTCTAGAAGCAGAAGGTTTTTCATATCTGAAAGACCAAGTCAAGCTTTCTCTTTATCCCAACACGCCAGGGTATAGGAAGGGGGTACTGACTGAGCAGAGTTTCTTTTGTTTTGTCTCACTCATGCTCCACATTCTTAGTGCTCTCTCCCAGCAGGTTTTTTCTTTCTTTTTTTACTTCTTGCTCCCATTGCAGATGTCACCTATCACAGAAGGTACCCCTTCGTCCACTCTTCCCACTCGGATAAGTCAGTGTCAGTATTTTTAGTCTTTGACAAGTCTTTAGTCTATGGATCTAACCCATGAATGACTGCAAATTATTAAGAAAAAGTTTTTCACAGATTTTAATTTCTAAATTAGAGGATAAATGAGGAAAGTGTGAGAATGGGACCTCTTAATCAGCATAGAAAATCATAGAAGGAAGTCAGTAAGTAACTGGGCTTATTTTGGGGTCTCTGTTCACCCTTCTCTTTAATTTAGACCTCTTTGGTCATTCAGCCTTATACATCTTAATCCTATGCCCTCAAAGGCAGGGAGCAGATATGAACTAGACTTTGAATCCCAGATACTGTCCTCTTCTGCTCTTTGTGTTCCCTATTTGCATTTTCACCCTGATATCAGGTATACTCAGAGGATTGTGGAAAGGTGAACCAATGATCACATCCTTTTTAGATAATCCGTGGCTCTGTTTCTCTTTTTTTTAAAGCTCAGAAATTTAATGTAACTATTAGCATTTTCTCTTGCAAGAAATGGTGGATTTCTCCCTCCCCCAGGAAATGACACCTGTGAACAATTATCTCTTTTATCATTGCTATTAAGATTATTTACATAACTTGTGCTCATTCAGAATTCACTTTTTTTTTCCTTTTTCTTTCTTTTTTTCTTTTTTTGACTGCACTTTGAGGCATGTGGAACTTCCCTGACAGGGATGAGGGATCGAACCTGTGCCTCCTGCTGTGGAGGCACAGAGTCCTAACCACTGGGCTGAGAGGGAAGTCTTTCTATTTCTTATTTTATTAAATTTTATTTCTTGATTTATTCTCTCAAAAAGCTAAAAAGCAAATTATAAACAGCAGACACCAAGCATATTTTGGAGTATGTCATCTTCAATTAGAAAAAATTGAATTTTTAAATATTTGGATAAATGAATGTAAAAGTAATACATTTTAATTTAGTGCACATTACACTTAATTGTAGTATAATCTTGGCAACAGCCCTTTTATTTATTTTTTCTCTATGTCCCAGAGGGGTTGATATTGCCAAGGAAACGAGCCTCCTTTTTTTTTCTCCTCTGGGAAAGTTATCCTGAGTAGATCTTGGCTGCATCACTATCTACACTGGGACTGCCACTGATTGAGTGTGTGTGCAGGGGACGGATGGGGGAGATTAAATCTATATTTTTCTTATCCTTCTGGGTTTGTGTAAATAATGATATAAAAGTTGCAAGAAAACTTTCACCCAACGTTTCTAGATACAAATTCCAAGCCAAGCAGATGTGGTAGGAAGGATGGGAGCAAGACTGGCCAGCATGAAAAATGAAAAGATATGCTTCCTTGCTTGGTGAAGGCACCCCCTTGCACTGTTCAAGGACCTGGGTCTCCCTGTCTCAGGCAAAACATGTGATAAAGGCATTTCCTTCAACATAAAAGGAGTCCCACAAAGAACCTGCTCCCATCACTCAAGCTGCCTTTTATCCATCCATTAACTTGCTCTCTCCTTCCTGAATCTCTCTCTTCCACCTCTTCCTGAATGGACAATTTCCCCAGGAGACAGCAAGGCACTGGTAGCCTCTCACAGTGAACATCACCAGATAGAATCCACAATCATAGCCATTTCCTTCCCTACATCCCTACAGGGGTTTCCCTGGTGACTCGGTAAAAAGAATCTGCTTGCAATGCAGGAGACCCAGGTTCAATCCCTGGGTCTGGCAGATCCCCTGGAGAAGGGAATGGGAACCCACTCCAGTACTCTTGCCTGGAAAATCTCATGGACAGAGAGCTGGCAGACTATAGTCCATGGGGTCACAAGAGTCAGATGTGACTTGGCAAATAAACCACCACATATCCCCACAGCTGGCTGGAGGAGAGGGGACAGTCTATCCTAAGGTTGGAGGACATCACCCAAGATTCCACTCAGGACTGCAGTTTGATAACCTTTAAAACATTTTTTTTTTTGTTTGCCTTAGAGTAACTAAAAAATAAAATATTGTATAATATTTCTCATGTCCTGAAATTTTCATTGAAGTTTCAATGAAGTTTCATAAAACTTCATTATTCAAGTAAGGTTTTTATCTATTTTCCAACTTTAATTATCCCTTCCCTTACAACATAAATGTAACTTTGATCAATTTTTCTTTGTGTGTATTGGTACCTTATTTTATTTTGAATACAAGGTTCTTCTACACTAATTTAACTCAATGATGTGTCAGTCAACCTTTTCCTAGTCTTAGATTTCTCTCTGTGCATATACCTTGGAGAGGAGGGAACAAAATAATAATAGGTCACAATAGGAAAATAATAGTGTGCAAATATGAAATGCACAAATGTGCACAAATGTGCAAAAAATAAAAGATTAATCTCACTACACAGAGATAACCAATGTTAAGTTTTGGTACGTGTCTTTCTAATTTTTTTCTATGTGTATATATACATATATTTCAAGCAAAATGAAAATTAATTACCCTAAACTATATTGTGAACTGCCTTCTCATCATATTTCTTAAAAATACAGCTTTTTATCTTTAAATATATAAGTATGTATCTTCTAAGAATTAGTACATTTGTTAAACTTCATTTATATAAAAATGTACATTCAGCAAGTATTATTTGATGATATTTAATAAACAGTCCATACTAAAAATTCCCCAATTAGTCTTATAATGTTCCTTACGACTCTTTTTTTTTGTCCTTCAGCATCCAGAAATAACATAGGATCATGTATTAAAAGTAATTGTTTTGGAAAACATAGTTCTTAATGGGAGTGATATTTTATCATTGAGTCTCCCTAATTTGTTTAATCATTTCCCTCCTGTGGGACATTTAGATTGTTCTCCATTTGTAGCTATTATGACCGGCACTTTGATGAACGCACATATTCCTAAACCTTTGGGTACACTTCTAATTATTCCCCGGGAATCTCTCTGCAGGCGGGAAGGCGGCCTGCGGACCCGGTGGGCATGTGTTTGAAGGCTGTAACATCCCTCTACGAAATTCAATGTGCATGGCAGGGAGTCCAGAATGTCTTGCTCACTGACATTTCTGAAGATGCAGACACAGCTTTAAGACAAGTGAAAGGACGTGGTTTTCTGTGCCCTATGGTCTTGCCAGAAGCACTGTATTTATGCCCCCAGAAAAATCTATCCTGGGAGGGATTGGGGAGCAGCAGTTGGGCTCTGAAGCCAGACAGTCCTTGGTTGGAGCTCCTAACTTCACCACAAAGTCATGCNGCCGGGGACGAGCTCCTCCCCGGACCCCTTGTGCCTCGCGGGTTGGGGCGCCGTCTGGGCTTTGGGGTCGCGGCCACCCTAGGCCCTTTGTCTCCCTCGTCCCACCTCGGGAAACCTCATTTCTAACTCAGGCCAGGTTTCCTTATCTGGCAGGAAATTAATCTACTTTTTCGGTTTTGGTGAATTAGTGAGCCAACAATTCATGTAAACAACGTGGCATACCACCTAAAACCGAAGTCTGTCCAATACGTGGTAGCTGATGTGTGTCCAGGTGTTTGAGGACCCTAAAAGCCCAGACTTGGCCCGCCTGAAATGAATTTCACTCATTCAACAAATGTTGAGCGTCTACACATCATACTGTGCTTGGCGTTGAGGACGTAATGGTGAAAGCAGCCCTGGTCTTTGTATGCTTGTTACGCCTTCGACTAAAAACACAAGAAATAAATTCATTTTCTGTCAGAGGAAAGACAGGTTTAGACGCTTCTTTGTGAGCCATGCTCCAAGCAAGGAATGCCATTTCGAGTGCTACTTGAGGCCTGATAACAACCTCCTCTGGTATGGCTTGCCTTTGCCTGTGGAACAACACGGGCATTATGCATACTAAGGAAAGGATGATAAAAATGAAATTTGCTGAAGCTGATGAAATGTTTGTACTTTTGCATTGTTGGAACAGTGGTGAACGCTTGGCCTCTTCCTTGCTACTCTTTGCAAGAGTTTATCTGCTGCTATGTCAGAAGGGAGAAGAACGCTGTGACTCAGGTGGTGAACACTACCAGTTAATGTGGCTTAAAATGCTGGATAGCACATGCTTCCTAAGTTGATTCAGAGTGAAGATAGATGCAGAGGAGTTTGGTTATGAATGTCTGTTTATGGCCCAAATTTGGCCGCCCCTCTAGCACTCAACATCATACATAGGTGTCTGTATAGCTGATAAGTGTATAGCTGATAAAGAGCAAGCTCCACCCTCTGATAAACAATCCCAACAGGCAGGGAATTACTTTTGACCTCATCACTAGTATTTAAATTGGTTTCTGCTGTCATCAGTGGGACAATTCCTTCGAGAAAAGAATTGTGTTGAAATAGAATGATAATAGTAATAATGATGAAAGCAAATGCTTATAGCAGTTATTCTTTATATGGGATTATCCTCAGTCCTTGAACACATTTACTCATTCTCACAACAATCCAGAGATACAGTTACCATTGTTATGACCAGTTTCCAGGTGGGAAAATGAAGCGCAGAGAGGTTGCTTGACTTTGACCATGTTCACAGAGCCAGCAAGGAGTAGAAATAGAATTTGAACCCAAGTGGTCTAGCTCCAGCTCTATGATTTTTAACCGTTATCATAGTTGGAGAATAGAATGTGTCCTTCACATACTAAATGTACAGCAGGTTTCTTCTGAACTCTTCA